TCTCTTTCTGATTCCCTCCACCTTTCCTAACATTATTGTCTTTTCCAAAGATTCATGCATTCTCATAATGTGTCCAAAGTACGACAGTCTAAGGGGGGAAGCAGACGGAGGCGCTGGAGACGCCGCCGGACGGAGCGCCGCCGGAATGCAGCCTCTGTACCGCTGTGCTCCGGCGGCGTCCCTGGAAGGAGCGCTAAATCAGCGCTCCTTCCACAAGACAGGGAAAGTGCACCCTAAAAGTGTAGGGCGCACTTTCCCTGACTTATCCGCTGCAGCGCGTGCAGTCGCTGCGGCGGGAGGTTGTCCCCGGAGCGCTGGCCATGCGGAGGGCCAGCGGCTCTGAGGACGACCTCAGGAAGAGGAAGGGGCGCCGCACGTGCAGCTGCCCCTCCTCTTCCTTGCCTCGAAGACGACTCAATTAGTCGTCTGCTGAGGCCCTCAGTCTCGTCATCTTGGCTTCTAGGGATATCTCTGGCTTGATCTGCTCTAGGACGCATTTGTTTGTCTCTTTGGCTATCCATGGGATCTTCACTACTCTTCTCCAGCACCACATCTCAAATGCATTGATTTTCCTCCTATCTTCTTTTTTGACTGTTCAGCTCTCATATCCATATATGGTAATAGGGAATACAATGGCTTGTATGATTCTAACTTTTGTGCTTAGTTGTATATCTTTGCATTTTATAATCATTTCTAGATCTTTCATGGCTGTCCTCCCCATTCTTAATCTTCTTCTGATTTCCTGGTTCCAGTTCCCATTCTAATCAATGTTTGATCCCAGATATGAGAACTCTTTTACTATTTCTATATCCTCATTGTCTAATTTGAATGTGTGTAAGTTCTCTGTGGTCATTATTTTTGTTTTCTTTATGTTCAACAGTAAGCCTGCCTTTGCACTTTCTTCTTTAGTTTCCTTAGTAGTTGTTCCAGGTCTGTGAGGTTTTCTGCTAGTATTATGGTGTCGTCAGCCTATCTCATATTGTTGACATTTCTTCTCTTATTTTCATTCCTCCTCCTTCCATGTCCAAGCCTGCTTTCCTTACAATATGTTCTGTATATAGGTTGAATAGATATGGTGATAGGATGCAACCTTGTCTGAGTCCTTTGCCAACTGGGAACCATTCTGTTTCTCAGTGTTCTGTTCTGACAGTAGCTTCTTGTCCTGAGTACAGATTCCTCATTAGGACTATCAGATGTGTTGGCATTCCCATGTCTTTAAGGGCGTTCCATAGCCTTTCATGATCTATGCATTCAAAGGCTTTGCTATAGTCTCTAAAGTACGTGCTGATTTTCATTTGGAACTCCCTGCTACGCTCCATTAGCTATATTTGCCTCTTCCTTTCCTGAACCCTGTTTGGACCTCTGGGATTTCTCTCTCCATGTATGATTGGAGTCTATGTTGCAGCATTTTGCTTGCATGGGAGATTAGTTCTATGGTTTTATAGTTGCTGCAGTCTCTTGTATCTCTTTTTTTGTAGATGGAGATGTATATCGATTGCTTCCAATCTGTTGGCCATTGTTTTATTTTCCATTTCTGTTGACATATTTTGGTTAGCACTTGAGTTAACTCTGTCAGTGTGGATTGCAACAGTCCTATTGGTATATCATCTGTTGCTCAAGTTTTGGTTTTTTTGCCATTTCTTTTATTGCAGCTTCCACGTCACTTTTTAGAGTTTGGGGTTCATCTTCATATGGCTCTTCACTCCATGTGTCCTTCATTTTGTCATCTCTTTTGTATAGTTCTTCTGTGTATTGCATCCAATGTCTTTTTATTTCTTCCTGTTCTTGAATTATGTTATTTTTATTGTTAAATTTTATTATTAAAACCCTCTGATAGGGTTACCAGAAATAAAAAAATGACTTGGAGCCCACAACAACACTTAAATTGCCCAGTTCCCTGAAGTTCCCTTCTTCTTGTCTTATTTCATTCTTTCTGCATGCTAAGAAATAGAGAAGAGATATTACTCAATTTTTGTTGTCTTGCAGGCATAAAGAGGCCAAGACATGAAGCAATGTCTTCATTACTATTGTTGCTGTTGTTTTGTGCCTTCAAGTCATTTCTGACTTAGGATGACCCTAAGGTGAACCTATCAAGGGGTTTTCTGGGGCTGAGAGTGGATGACTTGCTCAAGGTCACCCAGTGGGTTTCTATGGCTGAGTGGGGAATAGAACCCTGATCTCCAGAGTCGTAGTCTTACACACAAACCACTATACCACACTGGCTCTCTCCTTTATTACTATGGCACCACAACTGTAGAATTCCTTCCCAGAGAAGGGAAAATTTATTGTAGTGTCCCATATGCAATGGTCCCTTGGAGACTAAGTGGGGCCTGTGCCCCACCCAAAATGGAGAGGGAAGCACCTCTTCTCTGCTCAGCCCAGAAGTCACACCTATCCACATGTGATACCTTGTTTAAGGAGCATATCACACTGCTAAATAAACCTTCTTACCTCTCCCGAATTCAGTCTTAATTCGGGTGGCATCCAGATACTATTACAGGGATTTTGTCACTGAATCTGCCAGCCATGTCCATCCTGGGTCCCAGGGGCACTCCAGTGGCCATTTTCTTAAGTCAGAAAACTCCCAGTTTCAAAAAAAGGCATGCTGAGCACCCCTGGGACCCAGGCTGGACCTGGGCTGGACCTGGGCAGTGGATTCGGCAGCAAAATCCCTGTGATAGTATCTGGATGCCACCTGAATTAAGATTGAAGTTGAGAGAGGTAAGAAGGTTTATTTTAGTGGTGCAATAAGCTCCTAAACCAATTATTTGACTTATATGACAGGATGGGAGTAAGGATTCTAATTGCCTTCTGATATGATTGTCTTTGTTCTTTAGGCCAGATTGCTATGGAAGAGCACAATAATGCACAAGGACATACGATGGTGAGATATTGATAGCTGGCAAAGCACCTGAGGCTAATATTTAATCTAAACTATTTCTCATAGTAAGTGATTTACTAGCCTGTCATTTTGTACATTGCAGAAAAACAGTTGAGAATCCCATCTAATTCAGGTAAGAAGAGAGATCAAAAATCTTGAATGGATACCAGGGATGTCATTAGGCCTCTTCATAGTTCCACAAATGAATGGCAGAGAATGCTGATTGCTAGTTTTTGACACCTCTCTTCTTTGGAGATTGGATTGTGCAGAGCAGCCTTTGTTGGATCAGTTTCCATTAGAGAAAGGAACACTGTAGAATGATTGTAAGTGAAAATATCTTTATGTGCAAATGTACAGATTAAGAATCACTTAGCAGAGAGCAACAGCAAACTCAGCCCTCTCACTCCAGGGGCAAGCCCTAGCATCCATCCAAGCCCTAGCATCCATTATTTGGCAATCCCTTGTCTATTTAATAAGCAGCAAAGGAAAATTTGGATAACCCAGATCAGAGCTTGGGTTCCATCTCTTGACCATGCTACCTGGAGAATTGTGGGAACTGTAGTTCATAAAAGAAACATGTCCAAGCTCTGCTTGAAACTCTTGGAATATTTCATTTGGCCAGTAAATACTCCATACTAAGGTTCTATAGATCCCTACTCAGGGCAGTAAAGCACAAGATCTGAATATCCCTAGTTCTAGCCCATGTGGGCTCTGATACATCATGTAACAATGACAAGGCAGCAAACACATTTAAAATACAAGTGTACTCACCAGAAAACCAAGAGTTGGTCATATTTCCCTGTGATGTAGATTCAGTGGCAAACCTAGACTTTGTCCTATTGATGGGATGAAGTTTCACTGGATCCAGAACAGTAATACAGCTGGCATCCCCTACACCACAGTATTAGGGGCAGGGTTTTTGCTCAATGGTACATCACACAATTTACGTGCCAAAGATCTTAATTTCAGTTTGTGGCATCTTCAGATATGTATGTTGGGGGGGGGGACTCATATCCTAAAGGAGGATTGGAATCATGTAATTTCTCCAGATGTTGTTGGACTGTATCTCTATCAAACATAACCCATGGTGAGAGAAGCTGAGGACCTTATCAAACGCTGGCCAGTAATGCGCAAGACACGCGAAGGA